GAAGACGAAGCTGGAGCGATGGCGTCACAGGTAAGTCGTCAGGTGAGTCTCCCTGGCCTCCGCCATAGCCAGTCTCCCTCCAACCTCCGCTGCAGTAGGCTGCAGCGCTAGCTTGTGGCCAAAGTCCTAACGCAGCGCCCAGCGCTGGAAGACTACCGCTATCCTATCATCAACTACACCTACCGCTACTGAGTACCTCCCCGAATGCCTTAAGAATCCCTCCTGAAGCTGAGGTCGACCAGCTATAAACAACGCTGGTCCGACCTCAGGTAGTGACCTGAGTGGGAACTTTGGCGCCTAAACTTGGCGGCCAAACGAAACAGAGTTTGGCGCCTAAACTGGCACCCACTGCCGCCCAGGGCCTGTGCCCCCTGCTGCTTGCCTAACTGGGCCTCTAACCGGGGGCCTGGCGCTAACGAAACGATGTGCCAGGGCCTAGTGCTAATCCGGCCTAATTGGACCTACTAACCCTGCTAACCCCTACTCCTACGGAAGGGGCCCTGCGAAGGGCCCGTGTGGAACAGACAATGCCACACTGTCTCTCTTCTCTGTCTGTTCTTCCCCCTTGCTTGTTTCAAAATGTATCAAAATTGGTGCTTGCCGGTGATAAGCAACCGGACTGATGCCCCCCAGAATGAAGGGGCTGCTGTTGTCGTTAAAAAAAAAAAAAGAAACAAAAAAAAAAAGAACCATCTAATCTTGCTAACCTTGCAACTCCAGAATCCCTACTTAGGGAGCCTGGCTCTCCCTGCTCCGTATGCTTAGCAAGATTGGAGTGTCACAACCTTTAATCAATAAGATGACCAATTGGCATGGCCAGCATCTAAGATTCTAAGAGCATCCAATCTTTGCACTTTTAATCTAAAGCGAGGCCATGGAGCAAGGGGTGTCACAACCTTTATTTAATACAAGTGGACCTGCCGGAGCTACGCTGCAGCGAAGGACGATAACAAAAACATTTTGCAAATGCTCTGGCAGTTGCCAAGTTTTCGTAGGTGCAATTGCAAAAGGCCAAGCGAATTTGCACACCCACCTGACAGGCATCACACAAACATGTCAGCCCAAAAGGCCATTCAGCTGTGCCCATATCTTTTAGGGACATTTTGATATATATCTTAACTTATGGGGGTATTTGGCAAATTACCCTCCCCCCCCAAAAGAGGTGGACTCTCTCTCTCTCTCTCTCTCTCTCTCTCTCTCTCTCTCTCTCTCTCTCTCTCTCTCTCTCTCTCTCTCTCTCTTGCACACCTGCTCCCCGTTGTGCGACCTCACAACCTCCTTGTCCTCCCTCGCAGCCCCCTCCTCCCACTCGCACAAACTCCTCCCCCTAGCACAACCTCCTCCTCCCTCTCCTGCACGACCTCCCGCAACCTCTCGTCCCCATCGTGCGACCTGCTCCTGCCCCTCCCTCGACTTCCTCCTCCCCCTTGCACGACCCACTCCTCCAACTACTCGGACCTCCTCCTCCCCGTTATGCGACCTCCTTCCCGTCCTTGCAAGACGTGCTCTTCCCCCTCGCACATCGTCTTCGAACCACCTCCTCCCCCTCACATCGGCCAAGGCATCAGCACCCCGTCGGATGCCATGTAAATTAGAACTATTTTATTGTGGTCGCCACTGGATTCAAACTCACGTCTGCAATTCAACAGTTTCATTTGTGCATCAACTGAGCAACCTGCCATTGTGCACGATGAGAAGGAATCCCCTGCAAGAACATAGGAAGATACACCGAGACAGACAGATACATCGAAAATAAATCCTGGTGTGTGTATGGACTAAGGAGCCAGAGAGAGAGAGAGAGAGAGAGAGAGAGAGAGAGAGAGAGAGAGAGAGAGAGAGAGAGAGAGAGAGAGAGAGAGAGAGAGAGAGAGAGAG